ATTAACATCTGGAAGTTAATCAGTATAATCCGATTTATTTTAAATAATAACTAATATAGTTCTAGTGAATTTGTTTTTTTGTTGCTGTTGTTGTTTTACCATTCGGAAAGTACCTGTCCGATCCTTCGTCCTACGAGGTTATAATATTGTAAGTACTTACCTAATAACTTTATTATTATTATGGCAAGTTTGTTTCTCAAAATTAAGGTTAAAATTAGGCTGCCGGGTCTATTATTATTTTCTGTAAAGCAGTTGGTATTTATATTTGAATATTAATTTTATTTTAAAAATATCAATAGGTACATAAGATCATTATTCCAATATCAGTACGTTTAAAGAAGTCTAATGTAAAGGGTTCCTTTCGAATTAGTCCTCACAATGATTTCCCTTATTTTAAAAATGTACACGCCACCATTGAACTACACTCATCTCTCGTTTCGTGCCCTCCAGTGTCTATCATTTTAAAGCGATACCCTGACAATTCTATTGAATTTGGACTGTAAGTACATGTTTTCTAGCATGTATTACTTTCTACATTTCTTCTAATATAAACTGCTCCTGCTCACAAAAAAACATTTTTTTGACATTAGGGGGAATTTTTTCCTGAATTCATTTAGGAAAATAATCCGTGACAAATTGTATAAGAATGTAAAACGAAAAAAAAAGTAAATACTTAAATGAACATTAACGAATATTGTGTTTTGTGTAAATAATAATCTCATTTAATGCTTGTACAAGATTCCGCGTTTCAAAATCCGGTATTAAATACCTTTTTCTTCTTAAATCTACGTCATAGAAAAAATGTAATTTTAAAGCTTAAAACAAATCTACAGTTATGTTACAAACATCTTTGGCAAAATATAGAAATAAAACTAATGAATCTACATACAATTATTCAAAAATTAAAAATAACATCACTCTTTTTGAGATTTTTGTAGTATTTAAAGCTATTTGGAGAGCATTATGGACTTGGGAAATAAAGTAGTTTTCAAAATGAATGTGTAAAATAGATATGCTGTCTTGGTTGTAAAAACATTTTGTGTAATTAAAGAAACCCGTTAAGACGAATTCCTCTCAGATCTATAAGAATTTGCTAATCTTAGCTGTTTCATTAGATAAAATAAATTAAATGAGTGTGATAAATTAAGAGAGACATCGATAGACAATAGCTATGGAGATGTATAAGAGAGAAATGGGTTTCTGATAAATATGTAAGGCTCTTGAAGGATATGTATGAGGGAAATTACACCAAAGTAAGGACTTGTGTTGGATTGACCGAAAGTTTACCAGTGACCATTGGTTTGCATCAAGGCTCTTCACTGAGTTTCTATATGTTTAAAAAGAAATGTTGCAAGGTTGGAGAAGGGCTATTAAAGAAGGAGGACTTACGGTTAGCAGGTCTAAAATTGAGTATATGTGGTTGAGAGCAACAGGAACGGTTGGAAACATCGATTCGTTTGGAGAAAAACTAGGAAGAGTGGGACATTTTAAATACCTTGGCTTGTTCCTTTAAAAAAGTTCTTCTTTTCAAGGAAGAACCACACCATCTTCTGTATGTCATTTACCTTCGCAACAAGGAAATTATCAAGGGGTTCTTTTAAGTAGGTAATGCAGAGATTTTGCATATCCACTACGAAAAAATTGCGACTAACTTTTGCCACGATGTTTAGCCAATGCTCCGGAACAAAAACCTGAAATTCACTTGTTATTTTGGCATTTTCAATGACGGTACAATCTTGATCACACTACATAAAGTAATGGAACTGGTACAAAAAAAACCGATGATCTTTTATTTTGTCCTCCACAATTATCGCTGTAGGTGATAATATTCCTAACAGTGGGAGGTAAAGTTCCTATATATTTTAGTACGCAGGATGCCACTTCTTTAGGACCTCGACCACTTTTCCTTCATGTCGCATAAACATTGGGGCTTTCCCACTTTTTAAGTCACGGACGCAAAAGTTATATGTTCACAACTGTCTACTGTAAAACACCTTGCCAAAAGTAAGGTGTGGGGTAGGAAGGGCTTTTTCTAAATCAAAACAAAACTGCGCTAGTTGGATCATTCTTGAAACTAATAATAGCTTCAGTTTTTGCTGTCTTAGCGGCTTCGGTTTCCTAAGATGCAGCTCCTTTTCGATTTTATTATCGCCATCTGAGCCATTTTTAATCAGATTTTCTAGTCTTTCACATGTTGTGCAGGTGTCAGTGTAAGGTTGTTTTAAATTAAATATCACAATTTTACCGGCTGAGCATTTCTGTCTTTACAAAATTCTTTATATAGCTTAATAAGTTTTGTAATATGTAAATTCGATGAAGATAGGTACCAAGCTCTTGTAGAGTGACCGTATCCATTGTTGCAAAGAAAATTAATAAAACCAAACCAAAAAGCACAGTCTGTCACAACAATAACTAAAAATATAGTTGTAAAGTTGGAGATCAATGGAGATAGTAATACATATCTCCCTTGGCCTCTAAATATGTGTCTACCTCTTCTTCTTGTAGTGCCTATCCTTTTCGGACGTTGGCGACTATCATGGCAATCTGTATTTTGCACACGTATTTTGTGCCCAAGACTGCGATGTAGTGCATTAAAGCCCTTCCCCCTTTTAAATTCAATATTTGTTTCGTCCCTTCTAAGTGTTTTCTGTTTTAGTGTGTTTAAATTGTCCTTAATTGTTTGTATTTTAATATTTTATTTACTTGACTTTCCAATAATTTAGTAATTGCCAATAGAACTTTATCAAAGTAATTTGATAACTACAAGTTGGAAAATAATTGCACACCCACACAATTTTTACATCTAAACTTATTCATTGTCATAAAACTGTCACCTTCATAAAACAATTACTCAATAAATAACACACATTTCAAAAATATATCTCTCGAATAAGTATAAATAGCTTTTAATAACACAATGGTATATTACATCACTTTCATTTAACAAACAATCACACACATATCTCTTCTTCATTGGATCAAATCTATCTCCTCAAGAACTTCTCGTTTACTGTCAAACAACTGCAATAATAGAATTGAGTTCTCCATTCAACAATACATAGTAGTTTCAACCATGTTCTACCATCCATCAATTAATAGAGTACCGGCATCATTTGTTTAACTTTGTATCGAGACCTGAGGATGCTTTGCATATTGTAGAAAGCGAAACCGGTCGTCTGATAGTTAAATTAAATTGATTGTGAATAAGTCTTATTTATTATTTCTTTACCTATTTTCTTTATTTATTCGGAGACCCAGACTACCTGTTTCCTCCTCGAGCTGTGAAAACACCTCTCTCACGTCTCTTTCTAGAATGTGTGACTGCATCTATATCATCAGCAAAGGCCAGCGACAGTTTTGATCCTTGATAAGCAAATCCTCTAGGAAGCTCAGACGATATTTTACATATTGCATATTTTAATGCAAAATTGAACAGCAACGGTGACAAGGGATCCCCCTGCCCAAGTTCTGAATTTATACCAAATGGCATCGACGTTCTGCTTCCTATCTTTACTTGTGCATATGAGTCTGTCAAGCACATTTGCGTTAATTCAACTAATTTTCTTGGTATTCCCATTTCTAAAATTGCTATCCACAATTGCTTCTTATGAATCATATGCTTTCTGGTAATCTATGAAAATTTGGTGCACATCGCGGTTGAATTCCCAGTTTTTCTCGAGCAGTTGTATTCGATTTTGGCTGTTTTTATTATGGATATTTTATTTGGCTCTTTTCCTTTTTGCATTCTTAATTACCTTTTTTGCCTCCAAAGAAAACGCTTGTTATTTGAGTAGTTAAAATGTGAACCGCTAGATGTCGGCAACTGTCAGTTATTCAGTTATATCCCTTTGTCACAAATTTTTTCTATATTTAAACTAACTGACTCTGCATTTAACTCCACAATGTCAAAAATGTCACTTACCACCCTTGGCCTCTCGACGCTTTAGTTGTTTTCTTGCGTGGTTTTTTGGTTTTAACAATGAAAAGCTAGAGCAATCGGTGGATGCCAGTAGCATTAGCACAAGCTAAAGCAATGATACGATCCTTGCTTATTTTAGGTTCAGATGCTGCTAATTCACGACGTGGCGCAAGAGTTTTTCGTATCAAATCTTACAATTGAGCCCAGTTTCGTCCGCATTGTAATCATCTTCGACTGCATAATTTTCTTCCTTCAATAGCTCCCTTAGTTTGATTTTGAATGAATCTGCTGCTGATGAATCAACAGACAGACAGTTTTTCTCCTTGTATTTGAAGTTTCCGAATGCTCGACATAATTCGTTTTAACCAACCTATTCTTACTTGAAAATTTGACGGCCCTCCGAGTTTTTCGCTGAATTGAACTGCTTATTCACACATAATCAGACCGGAAATAGGTTATCTCTGGGATATTTTTTGAGTAAATCACTTATATATAGCATCACCTAAATCCGTGGCAAGTTTCATCGTTTTAATACAATTGACAATTGCGCGAAGCGCAGGAGGTAGGTAAGATAAGGTCGGGAGTTCGGATAAGCGGGCCTGGGGTTGATCGACGTTCGTATAATCGAGCTCTACTGTATGATATTTTTACCGTTTATTATAAATGTCTGGTATTTAATTAAAAATATGTCATGTAGTAATTTTGCTCTAGTTATTTTGTACTTATGGACGTTAATGATCTTATAATCATTTATCGCAGTCAAGACAAGGTAAAATTGAAGGAAAAGGCCCCAGGACGAAAAAGAATATCCTGGCTTGCTAACCTGAGAGCAAGACCTCAACACAGCTATTTAGTATAGCAACCAACAAAGTCAATTCCTCGGACAATCTATTTTATACATTTCTTTGAGACTACTTTATTCTTAATGTGGTATTTTAAATAAAAAATAATTTACTGTAGGTACTACGATTAACTGGTGACAATCTTGATCACTGAGATTTGATATTAACGTGCATTTTTTACTTAAAACACCAAACGCTAAATAAAACTGACTTCAACCTTTTAAAACAAAGACTCCTTA